AAAAAGCTCATTGGGAAGCAGTCAAATGGATCTTGAGATATCTACGAGGCACAAATGAAAAATGTTTGTATTTTAGAAAAGGAGATCTAAAGTTACAGGGCTACATAGATGCAGACTTTGGAGGTGAAGTTGATCACCGAAGAAGAACCACCGGTGAGTTTTCACTGTCGGGGCTACAACTATTAGTTAGATGTCACGGATACAAAAAATTGTTGCTCTATCCACTACAGAGGGTGAGTATGAGCAGTGACAGAAGCCAGTAAAGAATTGATTTGGCTTCAAGGATTGTTAGCAAAGTTGGGTTTCACTAAAAAAGAGAGTGTCTTGCACAGTGACAGTCATAGTGCAATACATCTAGCAAAGAACTTAGTGTTTCACTCTAGAACTAAGCACATTGATATACGTTATCATTTCATCGGATCTTTGCTTAAGGATGAAGTGTTGACTTTGAAGAAGATTGTAGGAAGCAAGAATCCAGCAAATATGCTAACGAAAGTGGTGACCATTGACAAATTAAAGTTGTGTTCAACTTTAGTTGGCCTGCTAGGGTAACAGACCGGAGAAGACAACTGCAGTAATTGATGTGTGAGGACAGATTGAAATCAGTCCTCAAGTGGGAGATTGTTAATCCACCTATTTTGACTAAAGTGGTAGCCACCACTCTTAATATAATATGGCAACAACCATCTTCATTTGACAGCCCCAAATTCTTGAAGAATGGTAGCACAATTTTGTTGAAAAAGAGGGGTCCACTTCTTTTCTATAAATAGAGGAGGATTTTTTATGAACAACAAAACAACACAGGGAAAAAGAGAGAAAAATAGGGAACAAGAAGTGAAAGTTGTAGCTTCTATGTGTATTTGTGTTGTGGGTTGTGAGTGAGTTTGAGAGTGTTTTGTAAACACGAGTGTATTTTTCTTCGTAATAAAATATCTGCAGTAGTCCGGAGATGTAGGCATTATTGGCCGAACTCTGTTATCAAATTGGTATGTCCAATTTTTTTTATTTCACTTTGATAGATCCGACTTCATGGAAATTTCAGCGTATTTTTCCCAACACTAACGGTTACAAAACCCGACGGAATATGACTCCGTAACGGGACCGTAACATCTCTCCTTAATTATTGATGCTACATTTTCCAATTGAAAGGGGAAGGAATCTTATGTTACAACAAATATAGTAACAATGTACGGCCTACATAAAAGTCATTGCCCACAAATACGCCAT